GGGGGGGTCAGAAATCTACCTATGGACTAGACTATGAATGAATTTAGAATAGTGAATAGTTCAAACATGCATAATGTCCAGCAGTACATTTACAATTGCGCACATTTGTGCGGACGATCNTTTATAACTGGAACAAGAAATAAGACTTGAGCACAAAATCCATGCTGGTTTCTGGTGAATCGTACTATAGTGATGCTGTGATCAAATCGACAAATTGAAAAAACAATGAGTTCCAAACATTTAAGTGCTTTTTACGCAACGTCGTTTTTTACCCGCCATTGTTGTTCAGTTCTAGTTACAGGGAAGCAAATTGAACATTACTACAGAGCGTTGGTGATCCTTGCTAAATGCAGGCGGAAAGAAGACGCATTTGAAGAACAGTTGTAGGTATTATTTAATGATAGCGATGCCATAAAAATGTGTTTTTCTGACGTATCAGATTGCGCGAGTGTACAGTGCGCATGGATATATTTCACGAGGGCTTTAACGAGAGCTTTAGCCCGACGGAAATATACATCGACGTCATATGAACACTTATTTATAGTATTCGGCACTACTTACTGCAAACACTGCAAACAGTAACTGTGAGATGTGTTTTAAACATTAGCCATCTGTGCAAGACATGACAAGTATGAAGTCACTTTGTAATATAGAATTCCACAAATTTTTGTATTATTGGATAATTAATTGTTGATATATTTGTGAAAATAGTGGCATTAATAATGCTTCCATGTCATTTTAAAGCAGGAAAAAAGTAACAATCACAGTTTTGCCCAAACTGTAAAGATATACACTGTAACCTAGACTGTTTGGTATGGAAAATAGATTTTCTCGCTTTATCATATTTTCCTAGTTCAAACCCCTCTCCCTCGATTTTGAACTTAATGGTCATCCCTAGTGGTACTTTTTACAATATGTATGATAAAAATGTATACTTTACCTTCAAGTTTGTTAACCAGTTGTTTCTCCACCTCCTCGCTAAGCCCCGGTAACGTCCAGCCCTGCCATAATGTCCGGGCCACGCCCCACTGCCACTGTTCGCAGGGTTCGACGCACGACTCTCCGACTTGTCTTTTAAACGATGTCTCTGTTTTATTTGTTCGATGTTTTTCCTCAAACACATCCGGGTACTCGTCCTCGTTAGCCCGACTGCTGTAGAAATCCGGGAACAACCAGGGCGGGTACCGCGTGGCGGGGGGCTCCACCTTCAGGGAAGACAATTCTATGTAGTCTGTCGGATTGAGACGGTTATGTGAGCGCCATTCCATTGCGGTACCAGAATTTAGTTCGTCAGATATTTGTGGTATCACCACGTCATCATTAAATGTACTGGGATTTTCTCCGACTTTTTCTTTGTCAGTTACGTCACTGTTTCTTGGAGTCACATTGTTTGGTTCACTGGATGCCATTTGTAGAACGCTGTTAACCTTAGTAGTACTATTTCTTTTTTCACAACCGAGACTATCTTTTGGATTGTTCTCTATGTCAAACGTTCTTTTCGTGAATGTGACGTCACCACTGCTGCTACTTAACGGGGTACTGGACATGTATTTGGGCACCCAGTTACAGTACCCTCTTTTCATGAGCTCTAGGTAGTTTGCTGATCTCATTGGACGCCAGTCTCTCCGCCTCCCGTACGGATAGTCGAGTCCAGCTATTGTACGGTATGTGGTGCTAGAGCTGATACTTCGGTCATTATTTTTATATTCTAAACTTCCCAGCCCACTGTCGCTGGACTTCACACTGGTATTTACGTTTGAAGGAAGCCGTTGTGTCGACTGATTGTTTGAATCGCAAAAAGCGTTTACGTGACCGAGACTATTAGATCGTGTAGTGTGTTTGATTCTAGTAGGGAAATCGAATACTTTAGTATTTTCGGGAAATGATCGGATGTTGACGTGGTCCAAACTCCCCGATTTTAAGCTCGGACTAAATGGAGATTGCAGATTTGGAGACAGTGACTGGGACGGCAAATATCCGTCGTCTGTTTGGTCGAGACTATTTTCACTCTTAGATATAGACTCGGTGAGACCGGAGTCCTGACTAATGTCATTCCTTCCTAGTAATGACGTCAGAGTGATGAGTCTATCTCGGATGTCATTAATACTGGCTCCGATGGACGAACTCACATGGGTTAGCTTCTTCTCTAATTCTTGAGATATCTCTGCTTGTTCTTCCTCAAAGTTTGTTTGTAAATGCTCAAGAGACCGACCTATTCTTGTGAGATTGGTTTTGATATAGCATGCACTTCGGTTGTCCCTAGCAATAGTGTGTTCCCTTGTCCGTCCAAACCTTGAAAATGATGACCGCGGGAGGGACTGAGTATCAGACGGCGCAATCCTGTAGTACTTGTTTGGTTGGCGAGTTGCTGCTGAGAATTCATTTGGTTTCATCAGCTGATGCCGCCTTGCCCGGAGGATATCCATAGTTACCTGTGAATAACAACGAACCGAAAGTGATCACACAGTTGAACTACAATACATTAAAGCACAATTGCGGCCTTTCATACGCTAACTTGTACATACATGTAGGTTTACGATCGCCTTCTAGCTTCGCGCTGTAGGGAATTTCCATTTAGCTCAATTGATAAAGCGGCTAACTGGAAAGCTAAATACAGGTCGCTGGTTCGATTCCCGGTTGAAGCACACTGTTTTTCCTGTTACAGTGCATGTAAAATGATGTGAGGGACACCAACTACAATGAACACATGGATGAAATGTGTTTTCCATAGCAACCATTGAACCAAGCTCTGGTTGTAATGTGATGAAAATAAGGGAAGAAATTGAGGTATAAGAAAATGTGATTTTGAGAAATGACGTAGCATTCTTTGACATGACTCCGTGACGCAAACCTAACGCCATCGTAGGAAGAATGAGTCGGCGTCTGTTTACGGAATGTCGAATTCAATACGTGTCTCAGTCATTTAATCAAGGGCAGTAATTTACAAGCCATTAACGTCCTATATCCACACGAGATCAGAGGGTGTGGTTTCCATTCCGTCGTCATTACAATTTAACACGTAGGCCGTGACAAATACGCGATTTGTGCTGCCACCTATAGGTGTGTCATAGGTAAAGCAATAATGTTTTCATTTGATACCAATTACAATCTGATACTTCCGCCGGTGATAGCCGCGTCAGTGACGTTCTCGCCGGGGATAGCCGCGGTCAATGACGTTCTCGCTGGCCAGAGGAATACGTAGCTACAGTGCACGTGTCTGTCATTAGAATTAATCTTGCTACAAATGAACGGTATCACAAACAAAGAGATAACTGCGGTTTGACGCGGACGTGACATCAAATAAGTAAAATTACTCGTGACTCTGAATGTTGCTGATTTGGGGATAAACCTAGCACTTGACCGATGTTTTAAAAAATTTGATTCAGAAACATGAGGGCGAAAGAATAATTCGGAGATTAGTTTTTATTTTGCCTGTCGCTAGGCGAATTGAGATTGGATACGTTAAATGTATTTTTTTAACTGTTTTCTTCTAGAAAACATTAATTATTTATCTGCCTGCTTTGTTTCTAGTCAAACAAATCGAAACAACTACATTTATCATATGACGTGTTACGTAGGAACAGTTGATAATACAGTGCTACCATAGTGTGAAATAGCTGAATTTTAACCGCACAGCGTAAAATCATATTATCTTTATTTGACTTTCGGATTTTGTAGGAGAGGAAAAGAATATCAAACTTGTGATTATTTATTATGGTATATTTCAGACCGAATAAAAAGTATCACTCATTAAATATCCTCTCTATAAAGCAATCTGTATCCCGTGACGTCATTCAATTTATACATAAGATACTCTAGCTTAAATAATAAAACTTATTTCATTTTTCAAAAATTATGAAACACCTTTTTTAACTTATATTAATCACTCTTGTTACCCCGGGTGTAACTTCGGAGTGCCCGGGAAAACACTTACATGTATTTACCCTATCTTCTTATTTACGATTGCTATTATACGTACGTACACTGACGAGATAGACTTTAGCGTCACAGAGACTTTATTCTTGATATCTGTAGTTCTAACTTGACCTTTCGACCTAGCTCTGTCCTATCAACATAGGGGCGAAACCCCTGTGCCAATTACCTGTCCATGTCCGGTGGATCACATAATTAACAAATTCTCCGATAAACCAAAATGACCGTGGGTCAGCGTACCCATGACCGGATAACTTTCACAGGAATTTTACCACATAGACATTCTGTAAACCTCTGGTTTAATGACACTCTGAATCACACCGCACAATACCCACAACAAAGGTATAACGTGGGATACTTTCGGTAAAAGAAATAATTATTCATAATGTCATCTTGTGACTCTACATGTGACAAATGCATCAGNGGGGTCAGAAATCTACCTATGGACTAGACTATGAATGAATTTAGAATAGTGAATAGTTCAAACATGCATAATGTCCAGCAGTACATTTACAATTGCGCACATTTGTGCGGACGATCGACGGACGTTGTGCGATAAAAATCGTGGTTGGTGTAAATTGAGGAACGGCTTAAACTTATATACGGTATCGTGTTTAAACATATAAACTTGTTTTTTTAGTATGTTTCTATATTCTCGCTTCATCTATAGGCTTATCTTTCTGTCTATTCTTTCTTAAATTTAGAAATGGCGTTTTCGGTGTTTTTATTATTGCACACGAGCCATCCGTATTTTTTTCATTCCGTAATATTATTAATATATAATCAACAAATTGTACGAAATCGCACAGTTGTGCGGAGAGAAGCGCACAACGGGGCGAACGATTGTTGCAACATGTGTGGACGATGTGCGGACGGTGTGTGAACAATGTATGCACACGCGCACGGTATGTTTGGTGCGTTGTGCGGTCATACAACTGTAAGATAAATTTAATACACAAAATTACTTCCTTATACTATTATTTTCACATATAGGTACATCCGTTCTTTAGTTCCTTTTATGACATAACATTATATATATTATATACAATGTACTATGCTCGTAGAAGTTGTCGATAATGTTAATCAGCATAACTATTGCCCAGTCATTTTGTACTTGTGTAGCAATAAAATATGTTTCAACAAAAATAACGTTTCCCAGGCAAAGATATTTATAATTAGATAAATAACAAAATGTGTCAAAATTAAACTGAACTTGTGCGCATTGGACAAGTTAATCTCTAACAAAACGTCACTAAAAATAACTTAACAGTTATTGTAATGTGTAAACTGTTTAGTTTTATACAGTAAACAACACAATTTCTGTTAAGTAAATCATACATTTTTTAACATTGATACAGTAAATTGACAGTAAACGATAGCTTTATACCGTAGAAGACAATAGTTTCATACGATTTGGTTTTCGTTTAGTAAATGATAAAATGTGTAGTATTTTATACTGTACCGTTTTAATCCCAATAATAGTCTTTATTTAAAGCATTCGAGGGAATTTGTACCCAAATAAAAGGCGCATATACACTCCCGTACACTTACCTGTACTAGACTGGGGACCGTACTAGGGCGTCTGTTCATGTACATCTGAACACTCCCGTACACTTACATGTACTAGACTAGGGATCATAAAAGGGTGTCTGTAAAGGTACATCTGTACTCTCCCGTACACTTTCCTACATACTAGACTGGGGACCGTACTAGAGTGTCTGTATATGTACATCTGTACACCCCCGTACACTTTCCTGTACTAGACTGGGGACCGTACTATAGTGTTTGTATAGGTACATCTGTATTCTCCCGTACACTTTCCTGTACTAGACTGGGGACCGTACTAGGGCGTCTGTATAGGTACATCTGTATACTCCCGTACACTTACCTGTACTAGACTGGGACCGTTCTATGGTGTCTGTATAGGTACATCTGTATACTCCCGTACACTTACCTGTACTAGACTGGGGACCGTACTAGGGTGTCTGTATAGGTACATCTGTACACCCCCGTACACTTACCTGTACTAGACTGGGACCGTTCTATGGTGTCTATATAACTACATCTGTATACTCCCGTACACTTACCTGTAATAGACTGGGACCGTTCTATGGTGTCTGTATAGATACATCTGTACACTCCCGTACACTTACCTGTACTAGACTGGGACCGTTCTATGGTGTCTGTATAGCTACATCTGTATACTCCCGTACACCTACCTGTACTAGACTGGGGACCGTACTAGGGTGTCTGTGTATGTACATATGTACACTCCCGTACACTTACCTGTAATAGACTGGAACCGTACTAGGGTGTCTGTATAGGTACATCTGTACACCCCCGTACACTTACCTGTAATAGACTGGGACCGTACTAGGGTGTCTGTATAGGTACATCTGTACACTCCCGTACACTTACCTGTATTAGACTGGGACCGTACTAGGGTGTCTGTATAGGTACATATGTACACTCCCGTACACTTACCTGTAATAGACTGGGGACCGTACTATAGTGTCTGTATATGTACATATTATACATCTGTATACTCCCGTACATTTACCTGTACTAGACTGTGGACCGTTCTATGGTGTCTGTATAGCTACATCTGTATACTCCCGTACACTTACCTGTACTAGACTGGGGGTCATAATAGGGTTGTCTGTAAAGGTACATCTGTACTCTCCCGTACACTTTCCTACATACTAGACTGGGTACCGTACTAGGGTGTCTGTATATGTACATCTGTACACTCCCGTACACTTACCTGTTCTAGACTGGGGATCATAATAGGGTGTCTGTAAAGGTACATCTGTACTCTCCCGTACACTTACCTGTACTAGACTGGGGACCGTTCTATGGTGTCTGTATAGGTACATCTGTACACTCCCGTACACCTACCTGTACTAGACTGGGGACCGTACTATAGTGTCTGTATAGGTACATCTGTACACTCCCGTACACTTACCTGTACTAGACTGGGGACCGTACTATAGTGTCTGTATAGACAATCTGCACACTCCCATACACTTCCCTTACTAGACTGGAGACCATACGAAAGTGTTTGTATATGTACATCTGTGCACTCCCGTAGACTTACCTGTACTATACTGGGGACCGTACTAGGGTGTCTGTATAGGTACATCTGTACTCCCGTACACTTACCTGTACTAGAATCGGGACCGTACTAGGGTGTCTGTTCATGTACATCTGAACACTCCCGTACACTTACCTGTACAAGACTGGATACCGTACTAGGGTGTCTGTATAGATACATCTGTACACTCCCGTACACTCACTAACATATATACTTGACTGCACCTGGGTATCCGCATGTGTGTTCAATGTAAATTGCCTACATCGTCTGCATTCCCTTATATAATTACATGTAACTGTACTAGACAGGTTGTCTGTACTCTTACCTTTTCTGGAGACGAACTGCTGCTACATATTCTACATCATAGTAGACTTCCTGGTTGGCTATGAACCTTTTGGACGAGGAGGGACATCGCTGTCACGTGGATAAACAACCTGCTTCCTCTCCTACTTGGTCTATACATTCAGTTATTGTCGGACCAATACTATATTCCCATTCATAACAATAACATTTATTGATACACACATAAAGGATTTTCTAGAGATTTACTCTATATGGAGTAGGCTTATCCCATGCGTACGACAGTGATTATATACCTGTATATACGGCCCGGGGGTCTCGGGCAGGGAGACACATGCAATAATGTAGACATGTATGGCGTTCAATTACCTTCGTGCAGGATATATGCAAAAATAGGTAAATTGTCAAATGTGTGCACTTTTTCTTTCTGAAGTTGTGCCCGAACAGCTATTGTACCGCTGTTTGCCGGCCCATGTTAGGTGGGGGCCCCGTCAGTGGGTAAGCTACATTGTTCCCTTGTTATATTGCGGTTTAAAAAAACTATTGTCCATTTAAATCCAATAATGCTTGCATTTATTGATATTTCAGCTGGTAGATTATTATCAGGTATAATCGGTGTTGTGTGACCGATTGAGAGCAGGTTTTGTTATTAGCTGAGCGGAAGAAAATCCCTATAACAAACGCTTGAGTATAATGAAACATGCCAGAACCAACCGCAAGAAATGTCGGGTAGTTTTAAGTAAAATCTTTGTATGTATTTATACCACTTACAATCCGCTCTGATGTAATGCATACGACCGTATTAATACATTTCATAAGAAACGTGTTATATATCTTATTAACTCTTGACCATAGACTTCACGTGATATACTTTAGGTATTTAAACAATGTTAACACGCAAGAAAGGAGAAATACATGCTGTAGAGTTACATAGGTGAGAATTTAAGCAGTATTCTTATTTTCGAACTATATATCATAATGTTCCGCACTAAGTAATGAAAGAAGAGATGTCCTACCTTCTGTTAGTTAGACGACACCTCATATTATCGCTAAAAGTTATAATGACATCTAAATAAAAATCTTTCCTAAAAAAAAAAAAATTGTTTTTATATCTGTTCTCCTGCCTAAATTGAATCTATTATTGATAACTCCAGTACACTCTGTCATGTTACTATGATACTGTATCCCCCTGTTTAACCACGCATGCTTATAACTGTAACAGGAAATCGGCTTATGTAACATATCTCTGTATACCATTGTAAATCAACAATGTTGAGATAAATAAAATAAAAAGTTTGAAGTCAGTTCGACGTCACAACTACTGTAATTAATGTGTTCTAAAGCATTACTGTTTTTTCGAACAATATTTGCTTTAGGAAGTACAGTTATGTAACCAAAGATACAACTATGTAACCAAACATACAACTATGTAACCAAACATACAGCTATGTCACCACAGATACAACTATGTAACCACAGATACAACTATGTAACCAAACATACAACTATGTAACCAAAGATACAACTATTTAACCAAACATATAGCTATGTAACCAAAGAAACAACTATGTAATTAAAGATACAACTATGTAACCAAACATACAGCTATGTAACCAAAGATACAGCTATGTAACCAAAGATACAATTATATAACCACAGATACAACTATGTAACCAAACATACAACTATGTAACCAAACATACAACTATGTAACCAAACATACAACTATGTAACCAAACATACAACTATGTAACCAAACATACAACTATGTAACCAAACATACAACTATGTAACCAAACATACAACTATGTAACCAAACATACAACTATGTAACCAAACATACAACTATGTAACCAAACATACAACTATGTAACCAAACATACAACTATGTAACCAAACATACAACTATGTTACCAAACATACAACTATGTAACCAAACATACAACTATGTAACCAAACATACAACTATGTAACCAAACATACAACTATGTAACCAAACATACAACTATGTAACCAAACATACAACTATGTAACCAAACATACAACTATGTAACCAAACATACAACTATGTAACCAAACATACAACTATGTAACCAAACATACAACTATGTAACCAAACATACAACTATGTAACCAAACATACAACTATGTAACCAAAGATACAACTATGTAACCAAACATACAACTATGTAACCAAACATACAACTATGTAACCAAACATACAACTATGTAACCAAACATACAACTATGTAACCAAACATACAACTATGTAACCAAAGATACAACTATGTAACCAAAGATACAACTATGTAACCACAGATACAACTATGTAACCACAGATACAACTATGTAACCAAAGATACAACTATGTAACCAAACATACAACTATGTAACCAAACATACAACCTTGTAACTGGAGCTACAGTTGTGTATAACAGTTAAAACATATTTCAAACTACATGTGTATAATAAATTTATAACTCCGTAATTAAAGCCACAGCCCTGTAACTAAAAATGAAAATGTGTAACTAAAGATTTAACATTGTAAGTATCGTTTCAAGTGTAATGAACGCTTCATTCTGTACTTAAATCTATATCTGTGTATCTAATACCACATAAATTTTGTATCAATTAATCAGTATTAAAAAGGGCTTTATATGCACTTTCTTTTTTGTTTAAATATTTCATAATAAAGAAGTTAAACATGTATCCAACATTACGTAACAGCAAGGTCATTACGAGCAGAATTAGGCCCATGTGTGTTTAAACAAAAGACTCACTGAATGTATGGTAGGTAAATTATCCGACCTTCAATCTGGTTCAGGAAAAAGCAAAAAACCACAGATACCTTATTTGTACTTAAATCTCTCGCTACCAAGTATGTTTATGGACAAAAGAAAAAAGTATTCGCCTGTTTTGTTGATTTTAACAAGGCTTTTGACTCGGTATGGAGAAAAGGTTTGCTCTATAAGTTAGCTAGATATGGTATCGGCAGCAAACTCTTTCCGGTCATTAGTAATATGTACAATGTACAAGAAAACTTCATCTGCCTCAAAATTTAATTCGTTCTTCTCCGATTACTTTGATAGTTTTAGAGGACTCAAGCAGGGGGATAGTACGAGTCCCTCTCTGTTCAATTTGTATGTAAATGATCTTCCTGGTTTATTAAAAAATGACCCTTTAACGCTTGTCGACTAGGAACTAGGTTGCCTTATGTTCGCAGATGATCTGTTAATATTGTCTGAAACAGTCGAGGGATTACAAAAATCATTAAATGACTTATAAACATATTGCAACAGATGGAAACTTTCAGTAAATACCCAGAAAACAAAAGCAATGATATTCAATTCAACCAACCGTGTTATTAAAAACTACAAATTTAATATTGGTAACTATAATATAGACATGACTAAAGAATATAAATATCTTGGTAACCTGATAAATACAGCAGGTAAATGTACACCGTCTGTAAAGGAATTGTCCAACAAAGGTCTTAAAGTTCTTTTTGCAATAAAAAAAAAATATGCAGGAAATAACACAAACTTTCCAGTAGATGCCAAGTGTAAACTCGTTCAATCCCTTGTAAAACCTGTCCTGACTTATAATGCAGAAGCATGATACATGTATTTATACCAAAATTTGTTAAGCAGAAAAATCAGATCGGATTGGGAAAAAAGCAGTAAATTTAGGATCCAGAGCAGAGCATGTGGCTATTTAAGTAGAATAAGTAAGATTCAGACAATTTAAACCCTTTGATAAAGGAGGCTTATCTATTAAATAGAACTTTACATGAAAATGGCACATATACCTGGTTTAGTTATGTTAGTGATATGTTATTAGACAATGACAAGTAAAAAAATGTGGTGTGTTAGAAAATGAAGTACACTTATTTTTTCACTGTTCCCTTAATGAATCTGCCAGAAAAGAATATTTCCAAAAATGCATTCCTAATCACAATGATGTTACCTTAGATACCAATTATTTTACCTCGATATTATTTACAAACAACTCCAAATTTATACTGGACCCATGCTTATTCATTAAATGGTCTCTAGAACTGAGGAGAGTGGGTTTGCTGACAGTATAAGGTATGGACTTTGTAGCTAAAAATGTTTGAATCAAATTCTCTATTTAAAGCTATGTTAATATTGTTCATGTTAATGTATATTAGAAATATAAGCAATCTATTTTGTAGTTACAAATGTGCAAAAGGAAAAAAAATGAATTTGTATTTGGTCGGACAGTCAAAGGGGAACTACTCTAGTCATTTTTTTGTGAATTCATACCGGTATTTTACAATCTGATGAAAATCATCTGTTACCTGTCTTCGTTAACTTCGTACTTCAGGGTTCAGGCGTAGTACAAAAAGTTTAAGGAGCCATGTGACAGATGATTTTAATCAGGTTGGGCATTTCATCGACGTTTTCCGTTTGATCATGTTTTACCTTTTAGTAGTTAGCATATTTTTAACAGTTTGGGAGGAATAAGTACTGAGTAATTGTAAAATATACTGAAGTTATTTACTACAAAGGATGTTTGTCATACACTATATGATGTTAATTATAAAATACATGTATACATAAATACACTGAACTGCTTAACTACAATATACTTATTCCGTCTTTGCGTATTGCAGAGTTATCTTCTCTTGTGAGCAGGTATTGATTGTTACGTCATTGGTTTGTGTGAGAAAATTATGTCGTTTTCTCAAAAATTGATGACGTTACTCTCACAAACCAATGACGTAACAATCAATACCTGCTCGCAAGAGAAGATAACTCTGCAATACGCAAAGACGGAATACAATACACCGAAACACTTGTTTAACTACAAAATACTTGTACAATAAAAACTGAAACAATGTCCTTTAATCCTATAATCTACACTATAACTTTACAATACATTGAAATGTAATAACATTTAATACATA